TTACAGAAATTTAAATTATGGAATTGATATGAAAAGAACTATGCTGCCTTAAATCATTAACCATCACATCCTTATTGATAATGTTATCAAACATGTGTTGGTGATTACATTTATTGTGCTGAAGCTTTTTTGTGCTCCTCAAAGCTCATATTTTGTGTCGGAACATGCTGAGGTATTTAATGCTGTGCACCTGTTGTAGATTAACTATTTCAATATATGACAGTTTTTACAGAAGCACAGCCTGTATATTTTACCAGAACTCTACAAGAAAGATAGGAGAACCTAGAAGGTCATACAGGCCATGTCTTTACTGTACTCTTTAATTGTTTTTCAGCATTAATGATTGTACAGCTTGTAACATGGCTTTTGTCAGAAATAATCAGGTCATATCAGTTAAAAGGCAAGGCTCTTTTTCTTTACTACCTGTTAAACACAATTAGAGATCATCCATCACTTCCCTATGTGAAGGTTTTCATTTTGATCATCATCTCAAATGTACTGAGTTTACCTGATCATTATCATCAATGGGAATTTGATCTCAGTGTTCCCGTCTTTGTTTCAGTATAAAGTAATGTATGATATTACAGTTAATGGGGAAAAAAATTGCACTTCTGTACCAAGCATGTTCAAGTCAATTTAACATTGTACATTTATCACAGATTAGCCCTCTAAATGGTGGAGTAAATAAAGCTAGTTTCTGAGGTGTATTTGTTTGTTAAATGGAAAGAATATACTTTCTGCTATAACTCTTGGTACTTTCATAAGTTTTAAGTTATTTCAGCAAGATTTGCCTTTTATAATATAATAAGAATGTTTCTTTATTTCTAGTCCTTAATAACCCCAGAATGCAAAAGCAAAAAAAAAACAAACAAACAAACAAAAAACAAAGGGTAGGCTAGTGTAAACATAAAAATGTACATATAAGCAGAATCTGTTTTTCAAAAAAGAACAAATAAGGGGCCAGCCCAATGGCCGAGTGGTTAAAATTCCATGTGCTCCCCTTCAGAGGCCTGGGTTTGCCAGTTCAGATCCAGGTATGTACCTGCTCCGCCATCAGCCATGCTGTGGAGGCATCCAACATACAAAGTGGAGGAAGATTGGCACAGATGTTAGCTCAGGGCTAATCTTCCTCATCAAAAAAAATATAAAAGAACAAATGAGTTAACTGCTGTATACTTTTGTAAAATTTTAAAACTACTCAGAGATTATCATAAAACAAAGGCCTAGAGTGAAAGAAATATAGCATAGTAAGTCAAATATTTAAGTATTATGAAATACTTTCTTTTGTTTTTTAGATTTTATTTTTTCCTTTTTCTCCCCAAAGCCCCCTGGTACATAGTTCTATATTCTTCGCTGTGGGTCCTTCTAGTTGTGGCATGTGGGACGTTGCCTCAGCGTGGTTTGATGAGCAGTGCCATGTCCACGCACAGGATTCAAACCAACGAAACACTGGGCTGCCTGCAGCGGAGTGCGTGAACTTAACCACTCGACCACAGGGCAGCCCCGAAATACTTTCTTTAGAAAGTTATAAAATTGATTAAGAAAGATACAGAGAAAAATAAGTATATTACCGGAGATGATATTGAATAGTCTGTTAATGTTTTAATATATCTGCTTGACTGAACCTAACTTTCTATGATTCTGCCATTTTTCTCATATATAATATGAAATATATAATTTGTTATATATATCTAATAACATATAAAATCTATATTCTGGACAAGTATGTATTTCACAGATATATATTTGTTGATATGTAACAAATATATATATGAAATATATATTCTGGAAAATGTATATTCCAGATAGAATGCTTCATCACATTTTGAATTTTACTGCTATTGATAACATTGACACTTTAGTTGTATCATGTAGGTTCCATAATATATAAATAATATATAAAAATAAATATATAGAGACATATGAAATGCCTTCTGGATCTCACTGTGTTTTAATATCAGAGATTTCCCATCAGACTAATCGGTGGCTTTCATACAGCCATTGCCCCCTCAGCAATTCTGTTTTGGGCTCCATTGGTAATAATAACAGTAAACATCTGCATAGTGCTCTATAATGTGCATAATTATCCCATTTGAGTGTCATTACAACTCTGTGAACTAGTTATCATTATCATTGTGATTTTACTTATGAAGAAATTTGGATTCAGTGATATTAAATGACTTGTGCACAGTGGCATTCAGCGAGTGGTAGAGCCAGCCCCGGAGGTTGGGCCTTCTCTCCAGAACTCCTTCTAATTTGAGATAGACCAGCAATAGACAGATCCATATATGCCTGCCTTTAGGGAGTCTTGCCTTGCAAAGATTAGGAAAATTCGTTTCTCTCTTATCGAATAATTCTAAACTTTATAAAAGAATTCATTACCCATTTTTGTAAAGCCTGTAAAATATTCCATTTACAAGCAGCATTTCTGTACTAGGTCTATTGTATTGACTGCTTCATTTTTTTTTTAAAAAAAAGAGGTAATATATAGACATGGACCTCAAGATGCATATATGTCATATGAAAATAAAGAAAGAATTTAGAAAATCGCGTGACAAATTTTTCTTAGCTGGTTATTTAGGGAGTCTTTCTGCACCTGAATAAATCAGGATGCAAGCAATAAAAACCAACTCTGTTAATTTTAAAAAACAAAAACAAAAGACATCTGGCTATCAAAAACAAAACAAAAAGAAAGGAGTAATTTCCTGGAAGGACACCAAGGATTCACTGAATAGAAGCTAGAAGACAAGTTTGGGAAATATGCAGAAACCAAGGCATCTCTGGAGGGCCAGGAAACAAGCATCACAAATGCCCCCACTGTATCCTGCTGTCGCTGGGCACCACCACCATCAAGAATAAAGCCTAAGCATACCTTTGTCTTTGCCTTACTATTTTTTGATTCAAAGTCCAGGTACTATGTGTTCCGCAGGCCAAACCTGGATCACAAGCCCAGGGAAGCAAAGCCTTAGCCAGCTTCCTTGGTGAGAAGGTAGGGTACTTGCTCTCACCACACTACAACCAATGGGAAATTATGTCTGCGTAGAGAAAAAAAGGGAGGAAGAGAGGGAAGGAGGAAGGGGAGAAAGTTAAACACTAAAGAGTGAACACTCCCCACCCAAAAACAAGGCTGATGTCTGCTATAGCATCCCTAACTATGAATATGTACTAAAGATGTTTTTGGTCCCTGTAAGGCTAAAAGTTTCTGAGAAGAGAATATCAGTCTTCCTGTTATTCACATGAAGCTGGGACTGTCTGGAGTGTATGGAGAGAAGATAACCTACCTTTCTGCTACCTACTTGAGATGATTAACAGAATCAGGAAATAAATTTCTTTCACCCTTAAGATCTAAGGAATTAAGTTTTGCTTTGGTTTTCCTTTTGAAATAGGTCATTTGCGAGTGGATTTCAATGAGTTTTTAGGAGGAATAGATGTTATTAAAATAGCGTTATGAAAAGTGGTTGGTGTTCCCACCAAAACACTTGTTTGTCTCTATGCCTTTAATAAATGATATCATCCACTTTCGTTGTTTCAGCTACACTCAGATACAAATAATTGTGAAATTTGTATTTCTAGCTCAGATATCTCTCCATACTTCTAATTCATATGTCCAATTACTATCTGGATATTTCGGAGGTCCTTCAAATATGTCCAAAACTTACTTTTTTCTCTGTAGCTTATTTCTCCTTCTTTATTTTTATCGCAGTAATACTGTTGTCATCACCCACCATTCAAGTAAAAATACTGAAAGACCTATTTGACTCCTTCTTCCTCCTACCTACATACAGTCAGTTGCCCGATTTCTTTGATTTTACTCTTTAAATATTTCTTTAATACACTCTGTCCTCTCTACTCCTACCTTTGATTTATTTCAGGCTGTTATCATCTTTCATCTGGCCTTTGGCAATAGCTCCCAACTTCTCTTCCTAACTCCAGGCTTATTCCAGTGAATCCATCCTCCACATGGCTCCCAAGGATCCATACATAACATAATAAGGCAGTGTCACCGCCACTGCTCCTTAATAGACATACAAGACCGTCCATGATCTGACCCCAGCCTACATCTCCAAACTCACCTCTTTGCCTCTTCCTCCCTCTTTTAAGTTAATCAGTGTTGAGCTGGTAATCTTCCCCCAACAGGCAAAAAGAGAATTGGAAAGACCATTTAAGTCAAGATACATTTGTGTTTCCCTGCCATCCTCCTTCTGCCACCAACACCAGAGAAAGGCCTAAAAGAAGGAGGTTGTGAAGATGTGAAAGACCAGAGTATTCACACACAAACACACAGACTCCAAACCTCTTCAGCCACATAGGAGTCTAAAATGAGACTGGATTAGGTTTCAAAAAACAAAAGTGACCAGAAGACTATGGCAGCTACCCAAGACATTATCAAGGGATGTTAAAGAAAAATTAGATATAGCACAATTGAAAGCAGTGGTTTTACAAAATAAAATCAGTTTACACTTAAATGCCAAAGAATTGAGATTCCTCAACAAACTGATTATATTCTGCTTGGGCATTATCGCTTTCTCTTTTAAGGTATATTTTTCCTGATCTCCCAATTGCCTGATGTACTCCCTCTTAACTTTCTGTAACATTGGACTTATGTGCTTCTCTCTCCTGTTGAGTTGCAAACCTCTTTTAAGGGCAAGAGTTGTGTCTTATTCATCTTCCTAACTCCAGCATTTTAACGCAGTGCCTGGCACACGAATGGCTCTCAATAAATGAGTGTTGAAAGAATGAGTGGTAGACATTTGATCAATTAGTGAATTTCCAGAAATGCTAAACCACAGTGACTAATTTTAATAACTTCCAAAGCTGCTGCTCTTTTTAATTTTGCAGGCCCTATTTTTTATTAATATTGCCTGATTTGTAGTATAAATATATTGAGATCAAAAACATTATATTATCCTACTGACAGGTACTTTCAAATTTCTATTTATTTTCAACATTTCTGACACAGTGATTTTTGTGATCATTTTATTTTTAAATTTGTTTTGCAGGTTTTCGAAAGTTACATATTGATGACCAGATAACTCTTATCCAGTATTCTTGGATGAGCTTAATGGTATTTGGACTAGGATGGAGATCCTATAAACATGTCAGTGGACAGATGCTGTATTTTGCACCTGATCTAGTACTAAATGAGTAAGTAGTAACTTGACTTTTGTTGTTATTATTATCAAAAATATATATGTAGTGGGGCTGGCCCAGTGGTGTAGTGGTTGGGTTCACACACTCTGCTTCGGCAGCACAGGTTTCGCCAGTTTGCATCCTGTGCATGGACCTACACAGTGCTCATCAAGCCATGCTGTGATGGCATCCTTATAGAAGAACTAGAGGGACTTCAGCTAGGTTATACAAATGTGCTGGGGCTTTGGGGAGACAAAAGAAAAGAGGAAGATTGGCAACAGATGTTAGCTCAGGGCCAATCTTCCTAAAAGAAAGAAGGAGAGAATGAACCATTAAAAAAAAAATGTATAGGTAGGATAATCTTGAAACTTACATTTAAATAGATGTTTGTACATTTTGTATCCTAAATAATAGAATTTTCCTGAAAGGTTTCTCAGAATTACCTAAAGGATATAATTTGATATGACAATATTAATAAAATTGTATCATTTTTATACATAATTTGATATTTGGAGCTTTTTCCTTTTGTTTCAATATACAGTAGTTGTCTCAAGTGCAATTTTTGGTTTTAGTGGGTTTTTGGGGTTTTTTTTTTTTTGTCTTTTTGGTGAGGGAGATTGGCCCTGAGCTAACATCTGTGCCAATCTTCCCCTACTTTATATGTGGGATGCCATCACAGCATGACTTGATGAGCAATGTGTAGGTCTGCGCCCAGGATCCGAACCTGCAAACCCTGGGCTGCTGAAGTGGAGCACATGAACTTAACCACTATGCCACCAGGCTGGCCCCTCAAATCCAATTTTTTTAAGCTTCAAAAATGTACCAAAAAATATACTTAAAGATAAAATTAAATGTTTAGTTGAACAAATTAAAATTTCATACCTTGGTACTAGTGAGGATAATGAAGTAAATGAGAAATCTTTAAATGAAGATAATGAAGGCAATGAGAAATATTTAAATGAGGATAATGAAATAAATGAGAAATATTTAACTGAAGATAGTGAGGTAAGTGAGAAATATTTTTGCTTGAAAGTATTGACTTACCTTCAGAAAGTAAAAGTATTATCTCTCTTCTTAGAAGAAAAATCAGACTGGCAATTTATTTAGAAAGTTGAAAGATAAATATGTCCATTTGCTTGATTATATTTAAATTACTATAATTAATGTTCTATATATAACTTTAAACTGAATAAGAATCTTTTCGTGGAAATATTTATACTTTTCTAACAGTGAGTGCTGACTTAGAATTATATAACATAGTAATTTACACTTATGTAAGTCTTTACAGATTACAGATAACTTTTGTATATTTTTATTCCATTTTATCCTGCAGTCTCTTGAAATTGATAAGGAATCAGCATCCTTCATTTTACAGCTCAGGAAATGGAGGCACAGAAGAATTGCTTAGCCTGCTAAAGAATCTAAGTGACAGTCAGGATCAATCTTAGCTCTCCTGAGTCAAAATCTCATTCTCTTTTCACTATTCCTGTTAGCTTCATTTGACTAATGAGGATATTACAAAACAGTACCTGGTTGAGAAAATACCTGAAATAAATTTCCTCAACCTTCAGAATTTGTATTTGACTTTGTCAATTATTTAATGATTGCTAATGTTCTCTTTTCTACATCACCATACATTTCCCCAGAATATTTCACACTGTAACATTTTACACTGAATACTCTAAACTGAATACATGGAACTATTCTACACTATTCAGTTTCTGTGTCCTGAATCCACTCTCCCATTGGATTGCACACAAAATTTTTAATTTTTTTTCACAGAAAAATCTTATCAGTATATAAAGTATTTCCTGAGTGTCCCCTCAGCTCTACATTCTCAACTCCTACAACTTTGCTCTCCTTTCTTGGTTTAGGTTTTTAAAATGTGATGATAATAGTGAGAAACAACTTTAATCTTGCTCAATGTGTATTTAATGTGATTTTCTAACTTTAAAATTTCTTGACCTCCAAAACTCGATATTGTCAATGAATTTAGATGTTTAAAATTCCAAATATTGAGTCTGTTTTATAAAAAGTCATTTTCAATAATAAATAAGGTCATTACTAAATCCCATATTCTCTGATAAATTACATAAACTGGCTAAGACACTGTATGTGGTTTTCTTTCCTGTTGCTTTTCCTTTTGTGTGTTGTGTGTGGTGCAAGACAGCGGATGAAGGAATCATCATTATATTCATTATGCCTTACCATGTGGCAGATCCCACAGGAGTTTGTGAAGCTTCAAGTTAGCCAAGAAGAGTTCCTCTGTATGAAAGTATTGTTACTTCTTAATACAAGTGAGTGAGTACAAGTAACTTAATACAAGATATTTACTTTCTTAATTTTTAATTCATTATGAAAGTCTCAAACAACAATATGATCATATGATTAAACACGAGGTATGAATCTTAGATTGTAACTGCAAAAGAGAAACACCCAATATACAGTCATAGACTATAATACAATCACTTCATATTTCTCAGGTTTTACCCATCACATAATACTAAAATAGCCTATCAATTCAGCCAATTCTATTTTTTTTTAGATAAAACATGATTAAGTGACTTTTTCATATTCACTCAATTAGGTATTATAAACTAATTAATGCATAAACACAAACTATGCTTCCCTGCACCTCTACTCCACATAGGATTTATTATATAAAATACACAATTTTGGTTGAATCTATTCTCTTTATGCCAGGATAGGCTGCTGTAACAAATAATGACAAAGATCAGTAGCATCATACCAGAGCAGTTTATTTATCACTCAGAGTCACAGTCTAGTGGGTCAGCAAGAAGAGCCAGGCTCCTTCCAGGAAGGGGCTCCACCCTTTCATAGTAGCTTGGAGTCCTCCACTGGATCTGACTAGAAGGTAAGTACTGAGTTTGGAGACGAGACCTGGAAGATCTGGAGGTTTGGAGGTGAGACCTGGAAATGTCATATGTCACTTCCACCCACATTCCTTGGCCCACCTTGACTGCAAGAGAGGCTGAGAAGTGCACCCTAGCTGTATACCCAAAAGAAAAATGAAATGGTATATTATCAAACATAGCATTGGTCGCCAGAAGGACTGGCGGATATCCATTTCATTCTTTCTTATATACAAAGAACACATACACCTCTGCCTCAGTAGATCCCCAAGGGTCTGGGTGGGAAAATTGTTTAAATTTAAATTTTTTTAAAAAAAGTATGCTTTTGCCTTTTACTCTTTTCTGCCCCTTTTCCATGCACAGGTAGGCTCAGCCTTTGAATGTCTGAATTGATCCTTCCTTCACTCCTAGTGATTTGAAAGGGAACAACAGGGAGCTAATACCTTAGGTAGAAGGTGAGCTAAGGGTCTTTCTCAGCAGCATTTTTGCAGGAACCTCTTTCTAATGGCACAAATCTCAAATGGTGATGGTGGGGAAGAGGTAACACGTCAGGAGGAAACAATAGAAGAGCTAAACCCTTTCAATGGAAGTTTTCCTCCTGAAATCTGTGTAAAGACAGGGAGCAGCACTGGATCTGAGGATATATAGGCCTATCGCCCTACTCTTGGGAACCGTATTTGGAGCAGAGACCTTCAAGCCTAATTTGAGGAAAGAGCACAAAGGAGACTATGGGTATTGATATGGGACTGGCCAAGAGAGTCCCCTGGAATGAAATAGTATTAGAGCAGTTAACTCCTATCCTTCATTTCTTGACAGTAATGAATCCTATAGCAGGTATGTCATGGAGACTCCTAGATCTCCCAAATCAGCGGATATTATTAACATAATTCTGTATTTATGGATTGGCTACATGATGGTGGGGGACCAGACAACCCCAAAATCTCAGTAGCTTAAGAAAAAAAATTTTAAGTATTTATTCTTCCACTGTATGTCTGATGCAGATCCACAGGGAGGCTCTGGTCACGGTTATCACTCAGGTACCCAGGCAAGTGGAGGCTGTATCTTAACACATGCTGCCACAATCACGAGAGCAGGGGTAAGGGAAGAAAGTGCATACATATGACTTCCACTCACATACCACGGAAAGCAAGATTCTTGGCCACTTGCAACTTCAAAAAAAGGGGAAAACAGACATACTTAGTGAATAGTACTTATGATTTCTACAGATTCTAATCAAAATTCTAAAGGGATTTTTGAGGAGAGACTTGGCAAAGCTGTTGAAAATTCATCTTTACATCTTGAAAAGTAAATAGATAAGTATTACAAAAATTTGGGGGCTGGAGAGAATTAGAAAGCTACCATAATTAATACAGTGCAAAAGAAGAATAGATACACTGAATTGTTAGTTTAGTCAGACTAGTATATATTAGAACTTAATATACTGTAGCAGAAATATCAAAGTCAATGAGTATGGGACGAATATTGTTGACAAAAATAGCTTTATATTTGGGGAAAACTCACCTGAGACATTTAGCTCAAATTATATCCTAAAATAAATAACAGGTAATTGAATAAAATGTGAACACTTAAATCATTAAAAGCAAACTAAAAGGAATATAAATGATTTTGAAATTTCAAATAAGGAATACCTTTTTGGGTTTTTTTTGAGGAAGATTAGCCCTGAGCTAACATCTGCCTCCAATCCCCCTCTTTTTGCTGAGGAAGACTGGCCCTGAGTTAACATCTGTGCCCATCTTCCTCTGCTTTATATGTGGGACGCCTACCACAGTATGGCTTTTGCCAAGCTGCGCCGTGTCCGCACCCAGGATCTGAACCAGCAAACCCCGGGCCACCGAAGTGGAATGTGCAAAATTAACCACTGCATCACCAGGCCAGACCCAGGAATACCTTTTTAAAATTAAATTTCAATAGGAAAGTTGGCAAAGAAAAAGTTTAGTGATTTGATACAAAGAATTTAAACCTCCCATCTGCCATTAAAAATTAAAATACATGTCTCTAGGAAAATATGGCAGGTTGGACACATACTTTTACCATTGTTCCCTCTAAAACTACACCAAAATATTAATAAAGGGATTTTTTTTTCTTTTTCTCCCCAACCCCCAGAACATAGTTGTATATTTTAGTTGTGGGTCCTTCTAGTTGTGGCATGTGGGACACCACCTCAACATGGCCTGACGAGTGATGCCATGTCCGCACTCAGGATCCAAACCGGCAAAACCCTGGGCCACCAAAGTGGAGCGCATGAACTTAACCACTCGGCCACAGGGCCGGCCCCAGTAAAGGGATTTTTTAAGAAATAAAATAAAAGGAAAAAAGAATGAGAGAGGAATCAATAGAAATAAAATTCTGCAAGCCAGCAAGCAGAACTAATTAAGCATACCTGAGAAGCTTGGATTCTAAGAAGTAAGGAAAGCCAAGAAGCAACTTGATGTGCATCGCTGAACTTCTAGCACATTCTGCAGTTGGTGACAAGATGGTTTTTTGAAATGAGAGTGAAAGTAGCATTAAAAACACAAAGTTGTATTGAAAGTCTGTTTCCAAATATCACCCAGCCATGCAGTTGTTCCTTTCCAACTCAGGCAGACAGTAGATTTATACCCCAAGGAGAATATAACAGAGGGTAGCTAGATTGGTGAGCTGCAGGCACTGCTGAGGGTGTGAGGTTCTGTAGTGAAAACAGATTAAGATTATATACCAGCTGTTGAGCCACCATCCTCCAGCACTCTTCCCCCAGCTGTCCCCTAGAACTTTGTCATCCAGGTTTCTATCTTGTATGTAGGAGAATGAAAGAGTCTTCTCTGCAGAATCTGTTTAGCCAGAAAGAAAAACAACTAAATATGCTAATAGCAGGAACTTCTCTTTGAAGTAGCTCAGCCAGATTGCCCTTCACTAAAGCTCACAGTCAATAAGCATTACTTAGCAGATAGAACTGTCAATTGGCTTTTTAGTTTTCCACTCTTGAATATAAATAAACAACCAAGGTATCTGAGGGAGGCCTTTGACATCAAAGACAAAGACAAAACAGAAAGAAAGAAAAAAAAGAACTTGGAGGAAACAGAGACCATGTAGGGAGATGAAAACTTTAAAAAAATTTAAAAGCAGGGGGCCAGACCTGTGGCCGAGTCTTCTATAAGTTCATGCACTCCGCTTCAGTGGCTCAGGGTTCGAAGGTTCAGATCCTGGGCATGTACCTACACACCACTCATCAAGCCATGCTGAGGAGCCATCCCACAAAGAAGAACTAGAAGGACTTACAACTAGGATGTACAGCTATGTGTTGAGGCTTTGGAGAGAAAAAAAAAAAGAGGAAGATTGGCAACAGATGTTAGCTCAGGGCCAATCTTCCTCACAAAAAAATAAAATAAAATAAAATAAAATGCAAACTCCTGAGCCCCACCCCCAGAGTTTAAAAGAAAATAAAAAATTATATGAAAATAAGCTATCCTTGCTTAGAAAGATAAGAGAGCATGTTGTACCCTTGAAACAAAAACTGGATACTATGAGAAAGGAAGAACGCATAAAAAGGAACGAGCTTTTAGAAATTAAATATATACATATGAAGGCAGAATTTAAAACTCAGTAGAGGTATTGGAAGGCAAAGTTGGAAAACCTCTCAAAAGTAGAGCGAAAAACAAAAAATATAGAAAATATGAGTCCAGAAGGAGGTGCAACACCCAAATAGTTGGAGGTCTATAAAGAGAAAACAACAAAATACATAAGAGAAGAAATCATCAAAGAAATAATCATTTCAGTAAATGGTGTTTGGAAAACTTCATTCAAAACAATGTCAGACCGTTACCTTACAGTATATACAAAAATTAACTTCAAAATAGATCAAAGACCTAAATCTAAGAGCTAAAACTATAAAACTCCTAGGGGAAAATATAGAGGAAAAGATTCATGACCTTGGATTTGGCAATGATTTCTTGGATATGACGCCAAAACACAGGCGACAAAAGAAAAAACAGATAAATGGACTTCATCAAAATTTAAAACTTCTCTGCCTCAAAGGACATGATCAACAGAATGAAAAGGTGATCCACTGAATAGGAGAAAATATTTGAAAGTCACATATCTGATAAAGAAAAAGTATTAATATCGAGAATATATAAAGAAATCCTACAATTCAACAGTTTAAAAAAACCAATTTAAATACGGGCACAGGCCTTGGTAGACACTTCTCCAAAGAAAGTATACAAATAGCCATTAAGCACATGAAAATATGCTCAGCATCACTAATCACTAGGGAAATGCAAATCAAAACCACAGTGAGATCACACTTCACACCCATTAGGATGGTATTTAATCTTAGTAAAACAAAAAGTTGTACTAGAAAGGAAAAGAAATAATATATGCTACATGACTTGATTGTGGTAGCATTTTACATAGCTAAAATAGTAACTTTGATTATTGAATATCCATTTAACCAATGTTGTGAAAATGATATTAGGAAGATGAGGAATAGGAGATTGTATGTATATGTATGCTTATAGTGTGGTGGTGATGGTAGATGGAAATAGAGCTATAGCCCGATTTTCCATGCTGGAAATTCAAAAGTTAAAAATGAAAAATCAAGAATCAGCACCTTTATAAGGGTGTTATTTAAAAGTATGAAATGAAAAACCAAAAGAAATCACTAAAAGAGTTGAGAGTGGTTTGCCTCTGGAGCATGGAAAAAGTTGGGTTGCCAGGGCACTACTCTTTGCCCTAATAAGGCAGCAAAACTGCGATAAAATATTTAAAAGTTAAACTTTAAACAACAAAGTTGTTTAGGAAATGTCCCAAAATCCTAAATTGTAGGATCTCAGGTGACGTAATTTTCTACATTTTCTAAAATTTTTCCAATGAATATATTTGAAAATTAGCTAAATCAAAAAGATTCTTATTTTTTGAAAAAAGTATTTTTATCTAAAATAGCATCTAGCTAACGGCCATTGACTCAGCCTCTCCCAACTTGCCACTAAGATATGCCACTAGAAGTCCTAAAAACTCAGAACTTGTGGAATCAACAAGAATCTGAGAGACAATTCTCCAATCATATAATATTGGATGTAATAATCAAAGAAATCATGAATTAAGGTAAGGTGCTTAAAGACAATAGTCAGAAATATTTAGGAAAGCTGGTTCATCAAAGATCTTAAATCTAGGGAAGAGAGTGGGAGAGGAGGAAAAATTTCAGATAAGCTAAGAGCAGGGGATGACAGCCCAATGATTAGATTATCATATCCTACAAACATGTTGTTAATGGTACTTAAAGGATGTGAGGCAGGATGAGATTAGGCCTGCTTTTCTCTTAGAGTAAAGAAGAAATTGCTTCAAGTTCTGGTCCTAAACTGTTGGATAGAGCAAACAAAGGCCTTGAGTTACTAGTTTCCAACTCTTCAAAGATCAATGGGAAAATAGTACTTCAATAATCAGAAGAAAAATTAATTTTATATTCCTGTTTAAGAATGATGGAGATGGGAGGATTAGTTGGAAAGCTTAAAAAGAGTTATGGAGGTTTAAACAGATATATGAAGAAACTAGACAGATCATTGATACACATAGTGTGTACGTACAGATGCACATACAAGTTTTCAATTGAGCGAAGATCACTTACTGCCAAAATTACCTTTGAAAGTCCCTTTTATATTCAGGATCTGAGCTCTTGAAAACTCTAAGCCAAAGAATTAACTTTTTCGTTTCTTTTGGTTTGTTATCTCTGGCTTCTTTTTTCAAGGGGAGTGGAAATCAAAATCTTATTGGGGTACAGGGAATAAGTAGGGGTTTTAGAAAAGGATTATTTCTCTGCCTTTGCTGGACACATACAGTTGACTTTGCTAAAATTAAGTAAATTTTTTTCTCTATAGAAACATTACTAAGGGTCAAGGTTATAAATATATACTTGTATAAATCCAAGAAGTTATGTGAGTTCTCTTTCAGCAATTCAGATATAGCTGCAGGAAAAGGCAGATGCTTCACTTTCAGGTTGAAAGTTTGCTTGCAGGACAAGTGCAATCAAAGAAAATGGAAGCATGGAAATTGGGAGTTCTGGTAATAGCACTGCTGAAGAAGTTAACCAGGGCATCTCAGACAAGTAACAACAGAAAGACCTAAAAGATTTAAGAAAAAAAGCTGTAGGTGAATTGACAATGTATAGGAAATAAGAGAACTAGCGGTAAGAATAAGAAGTTGTGCCTAAGATCTGGAATATATGAATTAAAGATTTCAGAGGTAAATATCTAAATGACTAGTTAGCATCATAATGGGCATAAGAGGCATTCCCATTAAAATCAGCAACAAAATAGAGATATTTGCCATCACCATTATTATTTAATATTGTTCTGGATGTCCTGAACAATGCACTGAATCCTGAAGCAAAAATGAGAGCTACAACTATTGGAAAGGGGAAAAGGAAGATATTATTTGAATATAATATTGTTGTATACCAAGAAAGCAAAAGACAATCAAAAACTGTTAGAATTTTAAATAGAAATAAAAATAAATAAAAATAAAGTATAACCAAGTGACTGGATAAAAAGAAATATTCAAATATCAATAGCCTTCTCTCATATCAGCTGGAAGGAGTTAGAAAATTCAGTGAAGCAATGTTAAAATTACAGCAAAAAACAATAAATTAGCCAGGAATAATCTTAATGAGAAATACTTGAGATTTATATGAAGACAAGACTTTACAGAAAGATCCAAGTATTTGTTAAAAAGAAAGAAAAAGAAGACTCAACATATAGATGCTGTTGTAAACTAAATCATAGCAAGTATTTTTTGAGCACATGCTAACTAAATTAAATGCCCAATCCACTGATACAGCACTAAAATAAGTTAAGCTGAAATGTTCTTTAACTTACCTACTTGTTCTTATATTCTTGCAGAGAACTAGAAGTTTACATGTCCTAAAACTATTAATAACACTATCTCTTTTGCATTTAAAATGTTTGCATCTAGAGTTACATATCAAAGGAAATCATTATATAACTCAGAAATTTGTATTATAAACTGCTAGTGTCTTTTTAAACATGAGTGCCACTTGTAATTGTCTTCTTACAGTTCCTTTGGAAGGACTAAGAAGTCAAAACCAGTTTGAAGAGATGAGATCAAACTACATTAGAGAGCTCATCAAGGCGATTGGTTTGAGGCAAAAAGGAGTTGTTTCTAGTTCACAGCGTTTCTACCAACTTACAAAATTTCTTGATACCTTGCATGATGTAAGTATTTTGTTTTGTAGAATATCAGTGATTATTTTCTGAATTTCTATAACTTTTTAAATCTTAAATCTGAATTTTACTTCATATAGTTTCTTCAAATTCATATTTGTACTTGTATTTTAAAACAGTATTTGCATCACACTGCTCAGAATTTATATTGTGCTTTTTCATTTTTGATGTAGATCACCCAAATATCCTTTTACTAGTATTTGTATAATTTGAGGGTAATTTAATGGTTGATAGGAATTGTGATACATTTTCCTGAATATATTCTAAAATATTTTTGCTTTAAGTCAAAAAAGATTTTATATATGCAGGAAAAGTAAAGGCATGAATGTGGAGAATAAGACTCTCATACTATTTTGGATGGAATTATAAGTTAATAACAATGCTAATAGATAATCTGGCAGTATATAGCAAAAGTTAAAATTGTCATGCTTTTCAAATTTCTACTTTTTAGGATTTATCTTAAATAAATAATTGGCAAGTATTTAAGATATAAAAGCAAGGATGTTTGCTGCAGCATTGCTTATACAAGAGAAAAAACCCTAGAAATGCCCAACACCGTGACTGGATTAATCAAACAAGACATATGTGGTTAGTCAAGACACATTGAATACAACTTTTATTGCTGCTGTGTTTAGAAACCATTCCAAAAGGACAGTAAAGGCATAAAAAAAAGCTATCCACTCACCAGGTCAAATTTGAGACCTTACTCCTAAATATAAACAGACAGCCAAAGGTTATTCACCATTTAGGTAAAGCCTATGAAATGAAAGGCAGAAAGCAAAATAAACAGAAAAAAAGTGATTTGAATGAAAAAGCACTAGTACAGAGAACAGAAGAAAGCTTCAAAAAAATTAAGATATTCAGAGAAATAAGGATGAGATTGTGTCCATGACACAAGAATAGAAAATACTTAAAAAGGAACTTTAGCAAGAAAGTACTTTTGGATAAGTAAATAAAGAAGAGCAGAAATTAAAAATTTAATGCAAGGGCTGAAATATAAATCTCAGAGAATCCCAGAAAAAAATAACAAAAAAGATAAAGAAGTGAAAAATTAGAGGGAAGAGATAGCAAATTTAGAGGATTAATCCAGGGGGTTCCATTCTCCAATTAATAGGAATTTCCAGAAGAACGACTAGAGAAAATCAAGGAGGGAAAATTATGTAATAAATCATAAAATAAAAGTTGCTAGAACTAAAGGATATGGGTTTTCTGACTGGAAGGGCCCAGTATACAGGCACAGCACAACTGAACCAAGGCATGTTATTGTAAAATTTCAGCACACTGGGAATAAAGAGAATATCCTAAAATACACCAGTGAGAAAAGAAACAAGTCACAAACAAATTGTCAGAATTGAGAATAATGTTGGACTTCTCGGCAGCAATGCTGGAACCCAGAAAACAATGGTGCAGTGCCTTCAGAATTTTGAAGGAATGGAAAATCTTCAAAGAATTTTATACCCAGCCAAACCATCAAACAAATACAATGGCATTGTAAAAATATTTCCAGACATGTAAGGTCTCATAGAGCTTACCTCAGATACAACCTTTCTCAAGGACACCTACAAGATTTCTTACAACAAAACACTGGAGTAAGCAAAAGAAGTAGAACATCCAACCCAGGAGAGATGCAGAGAGATGGCCAGCACATTAACTGGGCTGAGCAATCATTAGTCTAGATGAGAACAGTAATGCAGAGGCTTCCAGGATACCAGGACTGGGAAAAGATGGAACTATATGAACATATTAAGGTGAATTTTTACACTTCTGTCAGAGAATTTGACTATGACTTTGTGATAAACACTGAGGAAACAAAGCAAAGAGGAAGACGAAGTGATTGGCTCCACCAAAATAAAAATAAATCATATCAGAGAGGAAATAGAATCCAGCAGGAAACAATAAAAAACATAATATAAATCCTGGATATTGATTTAGCCAAAAATTGAGACAGAACAATACAGAGAATGGGGAGAAGAGAAAGTATATATAGTCGGGGAGGAAGGTGTATATTATAAGAGAGCTAAGTCCTCATTTTCCATAATAGGAAATTAATCAATAATGTAAAATTTGGAGAACAAAATTTATTATAAATACAGAGATAAATATTAAAAGACAGGCTAAAGAAGTTGAAAGTGGTTGTATCTGGGGAGCTGGAATAAGGATAGAAAGACTTACATCAGGAAACCACTGGGTTTCGTTGTTATTGCTATTAAGTCTTGCAGAACTATTTGACTTTTTAGATTATGTCCATGAATTACTTTGACAAAAATTAAAATTATATTAAAATGAATTATATTGAGTTGTTTGTATTGAAATAGGAAGAGTCAAAGTATTGTTATGTGAAAAAGCCAGATTAACAAATAGACTTTTATGCATTTTTAGAAATATATATGCATATGTGCATATTGTGTATATACCTGGGTAAGTCTATCTAAATGTATAAAAGAAAAAAAAACTTGAAAGAAATACACCAAAATGTTCACAGTGGTTATCCTATTGGACTGTGAATCGTTTCTTTAAATCTTTCTGGACCATCAAAATGTTTCATTGTGAGTATGTAATATTTTATATATTATTCTAGAGAGTGGGAGTTATTTTCATTTTAGTAAGAAGAAAACATCTTGACAAGTATTTATATTGTTAGAAAAGTAAGTTGCCATGTTTGAATAGTATATCAATTTATTCTTTTTCTCACATTTCTTATCCATTTGTTAAACCAACAGCTTGTCAAACAGCTTCATCTGTATTGCTTAAATACGTTTATCCAGTCTCGGGCACTGAGTGTTGAATTTCCAGAAATGATGACTGAAGTTATTGCTGCACAATTACCAAAAATCTTGGCAGGGATGGTGAAACCTCTTCTCTTTCATAAAAAGTGAATGACATTTTTATCTTTAAAAAATTAAATTCTGTGGTATGTCTGTTTTTGTTTTGGTCAGGATTATGAGGTCTTGAGTTTTTACAATGTTCTTCTCAAAGCCTTACATTTATAACATATCATACTGTGTACATTTCAGAGAAAATTATGAGGTTTTGTTTTCCTTTATAAGCATAATTAGAATTTTTTACGTGTTTTTGTGTACCCATATTTAAGAGTTTACAAGATTGAAAAAGTACTAAAATTGATTGTTAAAGTAAACTCAATCGTATCCATATTATTTCATACCATTTAGGTGAAGAGTTTTAACTTTTGCATCTAACAAATCAACTTTAGAGGAAAAAATCTTAACATATAAAAATAAAAAGCTATTATATATGTTCCTTGTAGGTAGCTCCCTTTGTCTCCTTGATTATATTTACAAAAATGAACCTTTAAATAGGATGCAAAATTTTGTCTATGTGTGTATATATGTTTTTGTGAGGAGGAAATTCATTACCCTCATCAGATTTTCCAAAGAGTTTTTAATGCAAAAAAATACAGAGAAAAGAGTCAAAAATCCCTCAAACACATTGATACTTCTCAAACTAGGAAAAACAGCTCATATGTTAAGACTGTTTCCCAGATTGGAAATACAAATCTCTAAGGAAGTTATTAAGTAGAGCCATATCATTATGACAACAGTATTGTGGGTTTTGTAGTTTTTTACTAAGCTTTTTTGGGAATTGTCCTCTAATAAGGTACTGTGAATGGAATAGGAAGTCAGGAGAGTCTGCGGCCTGACCACTCCTTACCATCTGGGGCCCGTGGAAAGGCTCTTAACCTTGCTGATGCTCAATTTCCTCACCTTTAACCCCGGTGTAATAATATCTTTCCTGAGAAATGTTTCTTTTAGTCAGAGCTTCTTATTCACTTCTTCTCAAATCAGAGAATGAAGGAAGGAAGGTGAGAAGGGAGGGAGTGAGAGAAGGGGAGGGAGGGAAGGAGAGGGAGGGAAAGGGACGGGGTAGAAAAAAGGAGAGAAATATTATTCTCTTTCTTCACTCAGGGAGGCATAATGGATGAATCATAGGTTGAAAATTTTTGAGTGCCTTAGATTCCATTTTAAGAGCTATTTCAAGAAATACTAGATACTGGCTTAAAATAATACAACCAATTATAATAACTAGAAAACACATAATTCACGTTGTTTTATGAACTGAAAATATTCCTTTTGAAGACAGACAAGAGTTCTTTTCTGATGTGAGTCACTGGAGATCCACTTTTTAAAAAAAGATGTATATAAACAGGAAGAACCAAGTTCATACACTGGTAAAATTTAATCAAAACCAATCATTGTTTTCTTTTCTAGATGAAGTAATTTATACCAATTTTAAACATACATAGATAGATACACACACACACATATATAATGTTTAACAACTCAGAAAGACTAGTAGACCCAATTCTTTTTCAAAATTCCTTTAAAATTGGACTTTATCTTACAAATAAAATATATCACTTTATGCAAATTAACGGTTGTTACTAAGAAAATCAAAGTAACTTTGAAAACAGTATAGAAAACATTTACTGAAGTCTATGATTTCTTAATGCATTTTTAATTACCCATTCTCTTCACCTGATAAATACTTGCAGTTTACCGAAGGACAATAACATAGATTAATATTAATGAACACTAATATGCCCCCAAAACAAGATAAAGTGGTTTCATCTGATAAAAAATTGGCATGAAATGTTACCATAACTGTTTCTTACCAATAACTTCTTCAATTTACAAAAAGAATTAGCTGTGGAATATCTATAAATAGTATATTCTCATAAGGCATTCGAAATAGGGATTAAAACAAGCTCCAACCAGGGCCCTTGGCTTCGGTTCATTAGATCTATGTGTCAAATAAAATAGATAATATACAAATTTTATAATGCTTGGTTATAACCTTCAATAAGAGTTTAATCCAATTATTCCAAATAGTCTTCACATTAGTATAAAAATGATCTCTTCCTTGGTATGTCTATCTACATGTCTTTTTCTATGAATACATCTATCTTACAATAGACAATTGACTGCCATTCAGTTCTGCAAAGTCTTTATACACATACAGACTCATTCTCTCTCTGCCCTCCAGGCCAGTTATCTTCCTAAAAAGGATCTTATTTTGCCATTTCCTCACTTTAAAATGTTCACTGACTTCGAGTCACCTATTGCAGTGATTCTCAACTAGAGCTGCACATTAGAGTCTCCAAGTGAGCTTTTTCAAAATATCTTTCCTTGGGCTCCACCTCAGAGATTAGAATTTAATTGGTCCACTCTTCTTCTTAATGTGGGTACATAATAGTTACTCTAAAATGGTGTTCAAGCATCATTTCCTGTAACTTTACTCTCTTTATCCTCCACTGGCATACATTTTATGTTCTAGCCATGCAAATCTTTTTACCATCAATTTTCTGCCTGAATCCCCTCTCCCTTTCATACCAGTCCCACTTGTATCTCAACCTCAAGACTCAGCCAAACATCATTTCTGCAGTGTCTTCCCTACATCTTCCAGATAGTGATTTGCTTCTTCCTAAGGTTCACCAGGTATTTTGTGCACATCTGAATGACAATAATGCATTGTTCTACAATTCTGACTCTACTACAAGTCTGAGAGCCACTTTGAGGTGTGACAACAGTGTTTCTTGACTGGCAGTTGAATGACATGTTCTCTATCTATTTTTGGTGTGGCCATGGATCTCTCTCATTCTTTTGTTACAGCAAGGCATGTCTCTGTATGCATGACTTTATCACCTCACTTCCTATGGTCCCTATCTCCGTCTCTTCATTTCTCTTCATCTCTTTTAAATTTTCCACCTTTTCTTTCTACTTTGTAAGGTCTTTCCTTGTACTGACTATATTATAGGAAAATATCAGTACATTTTATATTTATTAAGAACAACACTTTATATTCCCTGTTCTAAATTTTAAAACTGAATGGAGTATTATTTCCTTCCTTAAGAAATATTTCACAGATACAATTGTTTCTTATATTTAAGTAGCCCTAAATTGTTTGTATTTTAAACCTCAATATACAAATTTTCCTCATTTCTGATTTCATTCAACAAATATTTATTGGCCTCTATTAGCACAAGAAAATGTGCTAATAAGTATTATGAGAACTTAGAACTGAAGTAAACTCTAAGTAAAGAAAGTTACACTCTAGTAGTAGGTCTGAGTCATAGTGCCTGGTAAATAGTAGGCCCTCAAATATTTGAATGTACAAATGAAAATACAGTTTGGATTTGATAGGTGCAAAGCATTATCATGTATAACTTTACTGAGACAAATGCAGCACACAGTAAGATATTAACTTTAAAATGAATATCAAATACCTCCTTAATTTAGTCTGGTGGGTAATTCATTTGCATTAAATCTTATATGTACATTTGTTGAGAAAGCTTTCAATATCTTTTTTCCCCACAAATGTCATCCCAATAAATACATTTAAATTTTCCCCATATACAGTGGTTAAAGGAAATCTACCACTGTGGAGTGGTCCCTCTCAGAATGGATTATGTGACATAAGTAAATGAATGTAGGTGTGTCCAAAAAAATAAAAACAATATCATTAGCCTTTCACACTCAAGTAATAGACCCAGAGAACTACTGATGATGTGATTATTTTACTATCTAATTCTCGTTACTTTGAATTACAATAATATTTTGATGACACCAGCACATATTTAATTTCCAAAGTAATTTAAAACTTTTTGTATTTCACTCAACTGTGGGGGAAAAGAATGTAGTGGCCAGAAGAGTTGGGTTTTGTCATTGTGGTTACTGTTATTTTGCAACCTCATAGGAATGTTGATATTCTTGATGTTGATCTTGATTCACAATGTAGATGTCTCAATACTAGGATGTAATGTTTCAGGCTAAGCTTTAAAAAAAAGAAAAAAGCTTTTGAAAAAGAACATGACATTACCAAATGGAAGGTATCTAAATCTTTTCCTCTACAAATCCCTACCTACTAATGCCTCCATTCCTAGGTAGTCCTGATAACCTTTATCTTCATTTTACAGGTCATGTTTTTTCTGGTACTCTAAAGTGACGTTAAATCATAGGAAGACAGGTTATATATCAGAAAATACTTGAAGCCTACTGAAATAGATTATTGAGTTAATAAAAATATTTCCCTTAAAAAGCTTTGAGAAGCCATTTGAGCATGAAGCAATTACACCTCCAATATCATTTGTTATGTAACAATTTTTTGTGTGTTTTTATGAAAAACATGGCACTTTTTAATTAGGCAGTGCTATTATTTTTCACATTTAATATTAAAATAATTTATTGCTATAGAGGTGATATGCAAATATGTTTTTACCAAAACAATGCCTTTCAAATAGTCATGGCATGTCAACTTGTAACTTCTAAATTATCCAGAGCTACAGTGATATATTTGATGATAGCATCTGTAGAAAGGGCTCATCCAGGCCTTTGCCCCACTTCTCTGCCATTTACTAGCTGGATGAGCTTGAGCAAGTCATTTAACCTCTCTGATTAAACCTGCCTTTGCCCAATTGTTTTACGATTGACAGAAATGAAAACAAAAAAAGTATACAGGTGTTCAGAAATAGTAACAGCTATTATTATGTTTTCATTAAGCCATAGTTCTGACTATGATTTTATCAAATTAATCTATTATATTCTATAGTGAAACCAAGGAATCTATAAAATGTAGTTGCTTTATTTCTATCTCTGTATACATATGAGTATTTGATGTCTTTGGTTTGAAATTAGAGCTAGAAGTATTCAATCAATTTCTCCCCCTGAAAAGATATAGTCTTTTGAGTTTAGGGCCTGTTTTATCAGAAATCTAAAGAGCCTATCACTATTTCATTATAATATTAAGAATAATGGTACTGATTTTGACATTTTTCAAGTTTCTCTTTAAGGTATAGAGAGCTTAACTAAAACACAGCCCCTCCAAAAGTCTATGCTATATCACATGCTCAGATTACTTTTACTATGATAATAATTCCACAAGAGGGAACAATGGATCTAGAAATCATGATAAAGTCATCAACCCAAAAATAACATTCCTATCCTTAAGAAGGTTATGATACAAAATGCCCAGAAGAGATCTTCATGTCTGCCTTGATCTGATATCATGCATTCCTTTGGTGAGATGGCTATTAAATTTCTAGAGTTTTTGCTGTGAATACCTGAGCAATTTCTCTCATCTATACTTACCCTTTACACACCAGATTTCAGGATAGAATATAAATCCTTTTAAATATCTTTACAGTCTCCAGAGCGTTGTTTATAAGAAGCACTCAAAACAGGAAAAAAATTTTTCAGATTTAAAGATATTTCATTTTTGTATTCAAGAACCCAACAGCCATGTCTCCACTGATAAAGTGAAATAGACAAGCAGATGACCCAAGGAAGGGCATAACTTTCTTTTTCCCAAAGTATGCCTTTTAAATAGCCATTGAATGTGGGGATTTTCCACATCTCTTAAATTTTACAGGAAATATTAGCCAGATAATCTAGCAAAAGTTTGCCAAGTCCTAAATTGCTTATCCTCACTAGACTAAGTCATGTCATGATTTTAATGAAAAGAATATCCCTCAGGCTCTGTGGTTTCTCTGTATTTTTCTTACTCAAGTTTTGGTGAAAACGATGGTCTCTCTCTACCTGACATCTGCATCTATTTAATGTACTCCCTGCTCCTTGTCAAACTCAAAAAATGAATGAAAAGCAGTAAAACAAATGATGACTCACCACATGTTATGGGATCCAGTCCAGCCTGGATTGGTCTGCATCCCTAATATGAATCCGTAGTATGAATTGGGCCTAGATAATGGTGTTCATAGTGAATCACATCTCTACTTACACTCAGGAAAAAGGCCTTACAGACCATCAGTTCCCTGGGGCTAATAGAACCTGTATCTCCAGAGTTAGGCCTGAAACAACATGGCCTTAAAAATTTGAAAATAAGAAGCCAAGAGCAGTTTCCTTTAACAATCTGTCCTCTCTGTCATTGGAGAAGATTTCAGAATTTGGGGAGCATTGGTGATAAGTTAAATAGCAGCAGTTTATAGTAGCAGTGATTTAATATATAGTCTAAATATCCTATAGCCAAAGCAAAGAACAACATGAAGGGATCTGTTCCCCTCCTTGGAGCTGATCACATTCCAAGGCAGAGCTCCGGGCACATGCCTGGAGGCTGCACCCAGGCCTGTCCACAGCCTTCTGCAGCTGTGGAGTCTGGAAGACTGTTGCTGGACTGCTGGATTAGTCCCAGAATGTCAACCTCATTTTCAGTTTACTGGCTCTTGTTGCTTTATGTCATGCTGACCTTACTGTTAAACACAAGTTTGTTTGCTTTCTTTCCACTCATGGAGAAATAGGGAGAGCACTGCTTTTAAGCTGGTTGAAAGCTTTAACTGACAAAGCACTTTGAGAGAATGTGAATTAAGCAGCTAAGAAAGCATACCCTGTCCATTGCTTTAAAGAAAATGTATGGTATTATTAACTCTGCAGTGTGCCATCAGCATCATGGTCAGTACTGAGATAGATTTGAACAAAATATTTAAATGGCATTGTAAATAGTTGTAAAGACATACACTGTGTAGCTATTTTTGTAATCCTTTGAAGTTGCTCTTAATACATCAAATCCTGATGTATCCAATTTAGCAAACAAATTATTCTAAATGAAACCCACTTAAATATGTTTTCTCTAGCCAATTTTTAAAGTTTAACATCACTTTTTCTATAAAATTTACTTCCCTGCGAGGTGGTTTTTTTTTTTTTTTGGTTATGAATTATTTATAGAAAGCAGTGGTTTTAAACTTTTTGCTACTAAAGATACCTTTTACTACCCTCTCCCTCAGAAAAACTTACATTTTAAAGTATCTCCCCACTGAACTGTATTCCTATTAAGAAATAGTATTTTTGTTCTCTTCATGTTTTATTATTCAAAGACATATCAATTTGAGCTGCTGAGCAGCATAACAGTTATGTTCAAGTTGATTTAACAGTTTTTGTGCAGTTTTAACTTGGTAGATAAAAAATTTAGGGTTTTTTTTTTATAATAGCAAAATAATCAATGGACATCTATCATAGGTTTTCTAAACTAGGGTAAGAACTAGAGATTTGAGATCATAATATATTATATAAAGGTACATCTTCTTCTTCTAAGGGCTTTAAGATTCAAGAGAAAGACCAAAAATGTTTATAGAGAGTTAATACCAGCGTACCACATTCTTGTCAAAACAGAAATATGCAGCTTTGCTTGTGCTCCGTAGGGTAAAAATTACTCACTTAAAATGTAAGCCCTTTATTTAAGATAACTAGGGGTAGAAAGAGATTTTCACATGGCAGTCTTTAGAACTCATCACTTTAACCAATAATGTATCTCCTTATGACCTGAGTGTTGTATGTATTTTAACTTTTCTGATGTGTGCATATTCACAAGAAAAATTAAGAGCAAAGAATTTTTTTTAAAAAAAGCTTTTCATTGAAATTTGGAAAAAACAGAAGAAAAATATGAAAATTCTTCATATTTTGGAAGGAGAAATTATGACTTACAAAGTGAAATAGAGGGTTTTTCTAAACAGTAGCTTAAATGTTTTTCCCTTGATTATTGAGCAGGTGATCATGTTGACGATACAAAACATAGGTGATTATCTACAGTGATAACAAAATGTTAAAGAGATTATCGCTCACTCTGTGCATATAAAACATAAATATGCTCAGAAGCTTGCTTTTTGCTGTTTAAGAATTCCATTTTCTAATTCGAGACTGCATGGTTTAGAAAAAAATTCCTGATTTCTAAGTCTCTGTATAGCTGTCAATTAATTGGGTGTCAACACTTGAAAGAGAGAGAAAGGTAGGAAGGTAGGGGAAGTGAAGGGAAGGAGAAAAGACTATGACCAAATTATCCCTTTCAGCTCTGAAACTACAAATTTTCTGTTAATAGTTTCTATCAGCATAAAGTAGTCAACTCTAAGTTATCCATATTAATAAAAGAAAAATAGACCATGAAACACAAAAATAAAAAATTGAAAAGTCTTACTTTGGGCCTCATTTTATTCTTC